TGGTCGATGAATTTTTAAATTTAAACTGTGAACAAATGGGATTTATAATCAAATGAGATTAGTTAAATACAGAGGTTGTTTTAAAACTATAACGAATGGTTGTGCCGCTAATGGAATAGACGATTATCCGTTTTCAAATGGATGTTTTTTTTTTCTTGTCTGCTGTGGATGGACATGCTCTGGTCTTAATTGTTTTTTTGTTTTTTTTTTGACGTTGTTTTTAAATTAATTGTAATCTTGGTTTAGTCTCGATTATGTTTGATCCTGTTTGATGTTTGTTTGGGGAACTGTGTGTGAAGGTCGTAACGACGGAAGATTAAGTAGTGCTAATACATGATTGGTTCTGTCAGTGGCGTAGCCAGGATCGTCTCAAGGGGGGGGGGTAAATTTTTACCCGGGGACAAACTTTCGATTTGCACCCCCCTCACACTTTCGATTTGCACCCCCCTCACACTTTCGATTTGCACCCCTTCATACTTTATATATATACCGAGGGGTCTATGGGGGGGGTTATCACCCCCCCCCCTAACCCCCACTGCCTACGCCACTGGGCTCTGTAGTAAAACTCATCGTTTGAGAAGCGATGTGATTAATAAATGATTGCTTCTGTAGTAAACTCATCGTTTGAGAAGCGATGTGACTAATAAATGATTGCTTCTGTAGTAAACTCATCGTTTGAGAAGCGCTGTGATTAATACATGATTGCTTCTGTAGTAAACTCATCGTTTGAGAAGCGATGTGACTAATAAATGATTGCTTCTGTAGTAAACTCATCGTTTGAGAAGCGCTGTGATTAATACATGATTGCTTCTGTAGTAAACTCATCGTTTGAGAAGCGATGTGATTAATACATGATTGCTTCTGTAGTAAACTCATCGTTTGAGAAGCGCTGTGATTAATAAATGATTGGTTCTGTTGTAAACTCATCGTTTGAGAAGCGCTGTGATTAATACATGATTGCTTCTGTAGTAAACTCATCGTTTGAGAAGCGCTGTGATTAATAAATGATTGCTTCTGTTGTAAAAGCCGTCGTTTGGGAAACTATGTGATGGCCAGTTAATTGTAACGCGATTTAATTGTTGATCCTAGTGTTGCTGTTCTTATGGTACTTCTAGGTAAGCTGGCTGGTCCTATTTCTGTAAATGGGTGGTACTATAATAGTCGGTGTTAGTCGTACTAGAATTAGTGTCCAATTTGGTTGTGTTAATGTTACCATGATCAGAGTACTACAATAGTCGGTGCTAGACCTACAAGGACTAGTGTCCTACAAGGACTCGTGTCCTACAGTTATTGATGTGTTAGGGGTATTTGATCAGAGTACTACAATAGGCGGTGTTAATCCTACTAGAATTAGTGTCCAATATTAGTTGATGTGTAAATATTACCATGATCAGAGTACTACAATAATTTGTGTTAGTCCTACAAGGACTAGTGTCCTACAAGGACTAGTGTCCTACAGTAGTTAATGTGTCAGGGCTAACCTGATCAGAGTACTACAATAGTCGGTGTTAATCCTACATGAACTAGTGTCCTACAAGGACTAATGTCCAACAAGGACTATTGTCCTAGAGTAGTTGATGTGATAGTGTTACCATGACCATGACGTGTAGCCCATCTTTGTGATGCCAGCATTCAGGTAGCTTCCCCAGGTGTTTCTTGGTCAGTTTCTCCAGTGTATGTGGATCCCACTTCAGTACTTGCCTGACGAAACTTGACGTCAATGTATATTACGTCTATATCAGATTTCAAACCTACGACCAAATCCAAATTAAAATAAACGTATTTATAACACATGATTTCATAAGGCTTTCATATGAAATTACAATATTTAAATATTTATTTATTTAAATATTTATTTAGAAATGTTTTGAAAATGAGGAGGAGGGGGGGTGTTGTAAAAAATTTGTATGCTCAAGTATAATATTAAAACAACACATTAATTGGTTAACGTCTATCAGCATGTTGCTATACGGCCTAGCTTCTGATCTAGCAGTACTCATGTATCGACTGGCAACAAAAAAACAAAACAACAAACCCCACTGAACTCAATCTCCAGCTGTCGGAATCCAATGGATTAACGACGTGATTAACATAAATCAACTGGATTAACAAAAGGAAATTGCACACAGAGGTGTCTTCTTTACGCGTTTCTGTTATAAGCTATTGAACTCTCGTTTTGCTATCTGGAACATATAACACTAGATGAACTTTATGGTGTTTACACACTGCTCAGTTTAGTACTCAACACACGTAAACATGCTAATACTGCCACACTTAGCACACCAACATTGTGTCTTACCTAACACACCAAGTCTGTGTCGAATCTAACATACGCACCCCTACACTACACCGAGTCTCGTGCCTAAAACGTCAACACCTAACACACTTACAGTGTTCCAAACCTAACACACGAACAACATTCTACACATAACACACCAGGAAACACGTGAAACTCCAAAGTCAGTATTACACTAAAAGTAAAGCCGAGTTATATTATATAACACACCAAAACTGCGCCAAAACAAACACACCAATCAAACTCGTAAATCTGCATATTTAAAAACAAATAGTTAATTAGCAATTATTTTAATGACGACACAAACAAAACAAGCCTTTCAAAAGACAAAACACAATTTTATTCCCCTCATTTCGACCTAAAAACAAAATAACACCCCCCTTCTCCACCGCTCCTCTTTCACCGCCCACTCTAGCCCCACCTCTCATTGTACAAATCGAAAATCCCCCCCCCCCCAAACCTTGTCTATTGCTCGCTATCTTTACGCCTCACATCATCTTCAACAGTTTTATTTTCCAATCCTCAGAGCAGATTGTCTCTTTCTACGGTTGGTGCAAGACTACCCCTCCCTTCCCAGCGTATTGAATTCCCCCTGTTTAGAGTTGGGGAAAAAACACTAGTGAGAGAAAATTTAGCTACGAACCAACAAAAACTAGTGAAAAATACGTTGATGAGAACCCTTGAAAAATAGTGGTATAGTAGTCTAGCTGGCAAGTTATTTGTACCGTTGGGCTGAGCCGGTACTGAAAACAGCTTTAGAAGAGTCTTTAGAACTTGTTTGTTAAGTGGTAGTATAAGACAAAAGTTACTTGCGTAGAAAACATTAAAATATTTGGTCAACCGTATCTAATTAATGTATCATTACCATCATTTGTTCCTGTTCGTGCCCAAGACACACGAGGGGCAGATAAAGTAGAGTTCCTCTGTTTCCATTGATTCCCTAACGTGAGACAGGTAGCCTACCTATCAGAGCTGGGTGGACTCATGGACGTCCATCATCCTCCAGCCCAGGATCCGAACTCGAGACTTTTGGGTTAGCAGTTAACCACTCTACAGTTTCACCACACCGACTCTAATTAATGTATGGTTTGATTTTTTTAAAGACACCACATATTGCGTGTTTCAAATGGAATGTGTCTTACATGCTGAGGGAGAAACGAAAGTCTGCTACAGACACAAGAAAGTGACTCGCACGTGACACGAGTGTCCAATTTTAGGTCGAACAAATCAACTTTCCCTTGTCAACATCCATCTGTCTTTTAAAACCCCTTTTAATTTTCTTTTGTAAACATTGCTCTGTTTGATAATGTTCCTGTCTATTAACTTTCCTCTGTCTGTCATCGTTCCTCTGTCTTTTAATTTTCCTTTGTCAACATTCCTCTGTTTGATAACTCACTGTTGTCATCATTCCCCCTTCTTTTAACTTTCCTTTATCAATATTCATCTGGTTGATAACTTTCCTTTGTAAACATTTCTCTGTTTGATAATTTTCCTGTCTATTGACTTTTTTGTCAACATTTAATTTTTCTTGTTTTTTTTTTCATCGCCAGTCAATATTTATGTTTGTTTATTGTTAACTTTCCTCTGTCAACATTCCTCTGTCAAAATTCCTCTGTCAACATTCATCTGACTTCCGTAGAGTTACAAAGGCGGTTTACCATCTTTCGGCAGACGACCCAACAGACCAAACGACACAGACGAGAATCGATTTTGTGGTTTTTGCACCTTTTGTTGGCTCTCAAGATAATCCAACAGAATCCGATTTTTATTCGATTATTTTTTTCTTTAATATCATTCCAATCGTCTTCTTATTTATCCCTACTTCATGTTCAGCAAGACAAAAAAAGTTACAAAATCAATAGTTCCCAAGGTCACATAACATTGTAAAAAATAAACGAACGCATTAATCCCTTTAATAAAAAAAAATCTATCGAGCCACTTACATTGATCTATTCGCCCATGCCGCCAATTTGCGAGCCATTTATTTCAATCATCCCAGCGGTCTAAGTGGATAGGGACCAAAAAATTGACCCTTAGATTACCTCACTTGGACAGTCTGTGTACATACACTGGTAGCACTGGTAGTGCAGACGGTGGAATGTGGGACTTAAAATGGTAAAAAAAGTAGTGTAATATAATTTGATTTTTTTTTCCAAATTTTCCAGGGCCTTTTTTGGTGTTTTTTTTGGAATGCTTAATGTATCTGTATATATTTTTGTATATGCCTTTCTTCCGAATAGCTTACAACAATACTACTCGTAGCAAATAAATAAAAATTTTATCACCCCCCCTCCCCCCATCCCTTCACCCAGTCCTAATATATTGAAACGTAATAGAGACAGGGGTCGGTGTGGTCGAGTCGGTAAAGCTCATAGTTACTAAACCGAAAAGTCTCGAATCCTCGGGCAGATGAGGCTCGTTAGCTGGAGACAGCCACTCTTCTAAGAGAGACAACTCCAAAATTAAACAACTGCTACCTTGTAGTTCTTGGCTGGACAAAGGCTAGGAAGCAAATCCAAAAAGAAAAGCAGGCTGAAATAGGAGTCAAGGCCTCAATGGCGCATAACCAGTTAACACGTATACTTAATTGTGTTGGAAGGAATCCCTTCGAATACTAAAAATAAGAACGAAGAAGAAGAAGTAATATAGACTGTAAATGTCTAAAGTCTAAACAGTATTTTTTAAAAATGTTTCTCTCCCCTAGGTGTGACGTCACCAATGGTCCTGAGGTATAGCCACTATCTCCTGATGGACCGTGCGGCGGTGAAGACGACTGGTCAGCTCCCTGACCCCCTGCTCGAGCCCTTCACCCGCTTTTTGCTGGAGGCCGTGGACCTGGGTGTCACCAGCGTCGTGGTTCAAATCCTCGCCTGCAACCTTAAAGACTGCATCTACTAACGCGGGGAGGTAATTCAACCTGAAGGACTGCATCTACTAACGCGGGGAGGTAATCCAACCTGAAAGACTGCATCTACTAACGCGGGGAGGTAATACAACCTGAAGGACTGCATCTACTAACGCGGGGAGGTAATGCAACCTGAAAGGCTGCATCTACTAACGCGGGGAGGTAATTCAACCTGAAAGACTTCATCTACTAACGCAGGGAGGTAATCCAACCTGAAAGACTGCATCTACTAACGCGGGGAGGTAATACAACCTGAAGGACTGCATCTACTAACGCGGGGAGGTAATTCAACCTGAAAGACTGCATCTACTAACGCGGGGAGATAATTCAACCTGAAAGGCTGCATCTACTAACGCGGGGAGATAATTCAACCTGAAAGGCTGCATCTACTAACGCGGGGAGGTAATTCAACCTGAAAGACTGCATCTACTAACGCGGGAGGTAATTCAACCTGAAAGACTGCATCTACTAACGCGGGGAGGTAATTCAACCTGAAAGACTTCATCTACTAACGCGGGGAGGTAATCCAACCTGAAAGACTGCATGTACTTACGCGGGGAGGTAATGCAAAAGACTGCATCTACTAACGCGGGGAGGTAATTTAATCTGAAAGACTGCATCTACTAACGCGGGGAGGTAATGCAGGCCTAAAATAAACACAAAAAATGTATCCGCGTTCACATACACCAACATATATAATTCTTTTCCTTTGTTAACTCGAAATCGATAAATAAGAGCTAACAAAGTATAACTTTATTATTAATATTATTAATAACTTTCACAATATTTTTTAAGACATCGATAAACATCGGCTTACACAACACAACTTTATTATTCATGTTAATATTAATACATTTTCAAGATATTTTTCTTCATTATATACACAAGAGCCATGAGCACCCAAATTACATTTTGCTCCATATTCTCCGTGATGTTCATATTTAATTGCCCCTGACAGCGGGCTCCCGACAATGTTGACTGGGTAAACATGGCCGCCATAAATTCTGGAGCACCATGGGAAACGTAATCCCGCAGCACGACCACCTCGGTTGTTTCCGGGAAGATAATTTCACCACAGCAGAAAACAGCCAATCAACGATGAGATTATGGGAGGTAAATCATCGACGAAAAAAACTCATTTAAACGAGAAAAAAAAAACTACTAGAGAATATTGCGTGCGGTATTTAAAAAGTGAAGAACAAAAAAAGCACGTCATACTTGAAAAAAAAATTCAAGATGAAAATATTTAAACTTAAGACTACTTCCGGCGACAACTCCGGGATTTCCCGTCCCAACCAGCTGTTACTGGTTCAACTGGTTTTGATGTGGATGTTGTCAATGACGTCAGCTGTACACCACGCCGACTGGGGATCGGTCCCTTGTGTGGCGATGAACAGTGAGGATACAATCAAATGCATGGGCGAAAACGTCACTTCCGTCCCTACCACGTTGCCGAGCAACATTACACAACTGTAAGTAGCACATGTGTTGTCATTATAACCTTTGACCCCCCAGCATTACACAACTGTAAGTAGCACATGTGTTGTCATTATAACCTTTGACCCCCCTATATTATACAGCAGTTAAGTAGCCAATGTGTTGTCCTTATAACCTTTGACCCCCCATCATTATACAATTGTTAGTAGTCCTTGTCTTGTCCTTATAACCTATAGCCCACCCCGCCCACCATTACACAGCTGTAAGTAGCCAATGTGTTATTCTTATTGCCTTTGACCCCCACCCCTTCCCAACATTACACAACTGACAACAGTCAAGTTGTCTATGCGTTGTCCTTATGATCTTTGACCCCCACTTTCCAACATCCTATAATTTTAAGTAGCCCCTGTGGTGCCCTTATAACATTTGACCTCCATCCCCAACTTTAGACAGCTGTAAGTAGCCAATATGTTGTTCTAATAACTCACCCAACAATTAATCCACTCACCCAACAACGAATCCACTCACCCAACAACTAATCCACTCACTCAACTAATCCACTCACCCAACACCTAATCCACTCACCCAACAACGAATCCACTCACCCAACAACGAATCCACTCACCCAACAACTAATCCGCTCACACAACTAATCCACTCACCCAACAACAATTCACTCACCCAACAACTAATCCACTCAGCAATCCCTCAACAACTAATCCACTCACCCAACAACTAATCCACTCACCGAACACCTAATACACTTACCCGAAAACTAATTCACTCACCCAACAACTAATCCACTCACCCAACAACTAATCCCTTAATCCAGCAAATAGGTCACTCACTACAAAACTAATCCACTCACCCAACAACTAATCCGCTCACTCAACTAATCCGCTCACTCAACTAATCCGCTCACACAACTAATCCACTCACCCAACAACTAAAACACTCACCCAACAACTAATCCACTTACTCAACTAATCTGCTCACCCAACAACTAATCCGCTCACACAACTAATCCACTCACCCAACAACTAAAACACTCACTCAACAACTAATCCACTTACTCAACTAATCTGCTCACCCAACAACGAATCCACTCACCCAACAACTAATCCACTCACCCAACAACTAATCCACTCACTCAACTAATCCACTTACCCAAAAACTAATCTTCTGACCTAGTAACTAATCCGCACGCTGCTCCTTAAAATCATCATGAACTAAACACGTGATACATTAACTTTAATTATTGCGCTTGTTTTAAAATTACTCCAGTGGCGTGGTTGCCATGGGAACAGCTTGTGGTTGTATTTTTAAACGACGTACTGTTAGCGTGTTAATGAACTTAACACAAACGTTATTTTACAAATCAATCCCCTGTCAATAGGATGGCTGCAACCACATATCACCGTATGTATCTCAATAAGAACCAAAACATATATTACAATATGGACTTTTACTCTCTCTATTTATGGTTTCAATAGGTTAAATTTCTTCAAATGTTTACCTTCAGTAGGCTACTGATTATTTATTTAGTATGAAACGGGGAAATCCTGAAATTGTATGTTGTAAAATTAAATATAATCACACGCGACCAAAAGAAGACCAATTTAACAAATTGCACTCATCGACTGAATGACAAAACCATCGACCGAAATACACAAACTAATAGACCAAATCGTACAAAACGCATTGACTGATACCCACATACTTTTCGACCTAAATACCAACCTGCAACAATGGTCTTTACGACGCACACAACCCAAGTGACCAATTGGAAAAATTAAAAAGCCCACACCACACAAAAATACTAATACAACACGAAGTACTTTAATAAAATTATGGTCAGCTTGGTCAAAGCATTTACAGAAGGTTTACTACAGTAATTCCTTTATGGCAAGTTTACCAAAGAAGATTCATATGAGTTATCTCAGAAAAGGTTTATGAAAATATCAGCGCGGGATGTTTAGAACTGGAAGATCCTCCTCCCCCTGCGCTCTTCCTATAGTCGTTACTGTAAAGGCACCTAGCTGAAGAATATGTGCCGTTTGGAAATGGCACCGTGACCCGTATGGCTTCACTGTTCTGTCTTCTTACAGTACCTATCTGTCTGTATCTTTCTCTCGCCCAGGCGTTGAGATAACACTATATGTCTACTATCGATAATTTCTTTTCATCCATCTTCCTTATTCTTCAAATACTGTACAATCGGGAAATAATTGGATTAAAAAGTTCTCTTATCTAATTAGGACACGTGACGCATTAATTAGATCAATTAAATGACAGCTTTCTGGGCAGGAGAAAACATTTATTATTTCGTCTGCCTGCTTACGTCAATGAAGTTCGTGTCCTAGTTTCAGCAGACGACCTATGTCTAGCTCTTCAGGGAAGATAACAAAAGAAATTAGTAAAAAGAAGCCATTTCACAGTAACACATTTTATGGACCTAAAAACCTCAATTGTAGAAAAAATAAATATTTCGACCAGAAGAATTTGTCAGAACGAAAAGGAAAGTAAAAAGTATGTTTTAGTATCGTCTTTGAGATAAAAAAATAAATGAAATAGTTTTGTATTTTTTTTCTTTTTATTAGTTAGCAATGGTGTATTTTTTAACCTAGTCACTCTTCCACAATCTATGACTATATATTGGGGGCGGGGGTCACTGTAGTTATGTTAAGTAATCGTTTTAACTATAGTATTCTAAAGTATTAACTATAGTATTCTTTACCATCATATGAAGCGTAGGCTAGATTTACTTGTTATTTTCGGTTTTTAAACGATTCAAAACATGTCGAAATATTTCATCCAAGCTATTTATTTTCTCTACAAAATGAAACGTAATTAATTCACGGTCTGTAAATTAATCCTCAGTAGTATATGAAATAATTTCCCTAATTACTTTTAGCACTCTATTCGGGAAAAAAATAATTTTAACTTAAATTTAGTAAAATTTGATCTGGCAGCAAATACGACTTACCATAACATAAGCCGCAGTAGGGAAGCTAGGTTAGGTTTTTTTTAACTTGTTAGTCAAATTCTCATTTCTTTTGTCTTTTGTGCGTAGAATTATGTAATATAGCTTTTTAACGTTGGTAGGCTTGTTAGAATTTGCCGACGTTCGTTGTCTTTTAAAAATATATTTTTTTTGGGTTGGGAATTCTAAAAATAAGCATAAAAATGTTCGTGTTTATAGGCCTACGTGTCCGAATTTCAATATTTAAACAACAGAACTAATATTTGAAAATGGGAAAAACAAACAGCTACATCACCGTCTCTCTAAATTTGGTTGTGTAATTAAAATGTTAATAATTCAATGAATAACTAATTAGTGAATGTGGAGAACACTAATCTTAGTTTAGTACCGACAAAAAGGCGCTTCAACGAACATCAGACACATTAATCTCAAGTAATTTTTTTTTTGTTTAACTTTTTTTTATCAACTTTACAAGTGCGTTAGGTAATCTATTTAAATAAAGGTCATTATACACCTCCATTTTATAGTCTCTAAACTCAGGCGTTTTTTTTTAAGTTTGCATTGATTGGTCGG